GCAAGTGATGAATGCAATGTGTGAATGAATGCAATGTGTGAATGAATGCAAATGCAAAGTGAATAAAATGCAAAGTGAATGAATGCAAATGAAATGTAAAATAAAATAAATGCAAGTTAAATGCAAAGTGAATCTATGTTTGTGTATAGAATGTTATCATAATAAAAGAGGAGAATGCCCGATATAAACTCCAAGACATTTCAACCTAGTAGCGTCCATTTTTGACGGCTTATGAATTATTGTTTTCTTTGTTCCTATTCTCCATTTCTTGCCTCTCTCTTTCTTCTTTCTCCCTCTGTAATTGTTCGATTGCACCTTGGACTTCGCTCTCCGGCAGTACATGACCAAAGATTTTGTTAAAGGTTTCAGGAGCGTAAACATCGTCCTTGTGGAAGAAGTCACTCTGGGTCTGATCGGGATGGGAGAGGGTCTTGAGAGTGTCGTATGCGAGATTGTTAGACATGGTTGAAGATGTAGGATGTGTTGTTTGACTTCGTAAGTATTTGCTTAAAGCAGTAATTGGCTTTTTGTAAAGTGAGTTATGTATCGTATATTGGTGTTTGCTTTTTTTTCTTTTTTGTTTTAACTTGTCTTTTTCGAGACTGCTTTGACCATGGAGTTTCTCCGCTTGTATTTATACATTTCGAGCTTGCGCTGGTTTCTCTTGGCTGTCCTCCTATTTGTCAGTCTGTTTTCCGGTTATATCAAACTGATTTCGTACTGCTTTCCTATATGAATTACAATATGTCTTTGTTATCTGTTTCTATTTCGAATAATTCCTGTTCCGATTGGTTCGATATGTAAAGAAGGAAAGAACGGAATTTGGGTGTAACACCGCATTAGTGTACTAAGATCAACAAAGTGGAGAAAGGGGAACCGATTCAACGGTCGTGGGTGAATGTGTGTACCAGCAGTCTTTTTTTGTCAACTTCGTGAAGTTGGAACAAAGAGAAACAAAAGATGACGTGAATTGAGGAATGGTGAAATGGGTAGTATTTAAGAGATCGACAAGACATATCACTTTGTCGTATATGCAAGTATAAAGACTTTGAGCATTAGACTGTTTGTGTAATAGGAACAAAAGTGAACAGTGCAACGTGAAGATAAAGAACTTAACAAATATGTAATACTGTTTAGAGTTTGTAGACTTCTTTGTCAAATACTAGATATCTTTAATTACTGTTGACTAATTTAGGTAAAGAGGATTAAGAATGTGATACATCTCGAGATGTGACAATGTACAACTGCTTACTATTCGACAATTAAGGCATGACCCGCGAAAGCAGGTTCTTGGACCGGTTCCTAATTGGTGTTACAATATTTGCTACGTTAATTCGAATATGGGGAACTACTTTGGTTAAGAGCCATGCTTGTCAGAGATGCTGTCGAACTAGTTTGGTAATATTAACAGCGCTAATATGTGACGAATTTCTTTGTAGCGATGAACCGCTTGAATTTTCCATAAAAAATTAATACATATAGGTAATTATAATTATTAATCCAGGCCTTCCATAAATCACCACAATTTGGAGATCCTTCCATATGCCCCGTCTATGTAATCTCTCATGGAATCAACTGCTCTCAGTGTATTAGCAGGTTCATATTTAAACTCTGGAAATGAAGAATCGCGAGCAAGACCGAATGATGTAGCGACGCGAGGAAATCTATGATCAATGTAGGGAAAGAAAACGATATTTGTCGGTCGCACATATATAATATTTCCTTGTAAGGAATGACAAAGTTAGAAATAAAATTCGGGAAGCCCCAATGAACACAAAATGGTATTTCTTTATGCAATGAATACGTTTTTATATACTTACTGATTAATTCACCGTTGACAGTGAAAAATACGGCAACGCGAGTGCCTCTGCTTGTGCCTGAAGGCAAGTTGCTGTTATCGTCCTCCTGCATAGCGCATCATATCGTCAATATTTTGCCTCTTTAATTACCAAATTTCCATTCGTATCATCGTGTCTTTCGATAATTCACCTCTTTTAAATCCCGTAAACCGCATCCAACGTAATCTCCATCTTTCAGCCGCACATCTAATTCAATCAATGTTCCTATCTTGTCACTGTCATCACTTGCCCTAGAGATATTTGTTCGCTGATCCATTCTCTTAGAAAAAGCACGAATTAAACATGTGTCCAGCTCAGTAGGTGATGTAAACACGCGGAGATTGATCACTACTAGAAAGCAAGAGTCTCGGTTGCGACAAAATAGGATGGCATCGTCAAGATTATTGGCAAGCCCTACTTGAAGACAATGACTACGAAGATCAGAAAGAATGAGAAAATTATTAGTAAAAAAATACGGTAATCGAAGATGATTGCTAAAATACTAACAATTTAGTTACCTGACAAACACGTTTTTTAATCCAACTCGCACTTCGTAATAGAGTAAGGGTAGAAATAGACTGCCTAATGGCTTCTCGATAAAGTTTTCGTTACTATCATTTTTCGGAAGATTGTTTTCCTTAAGGTTCTTTATTGTTTCCGAATTTGATCCTGTATATCCAATAGGTCTGTACCCCGCAGGAACATATCTGCAGGAAACGCACATAAATACGTCAATGCAATGTTATATTAAGTATCACATTCGATCTATCATACTTACGCCAACGGATCAAATACCCCACCGAAATGTACTCCGCACTCTTGAGACGAGGCCAATGATACCGCCTACAACATATTTCATTTGAGTAAAATTACACAATATTAATAGGCATTCATAGCACAGCTCCAGTTATCGGCCAAGGCAATGAGTCCGCATTATACATACAGGATACCACTCTTCCTTCTTATTAATATTAGTAAATGCAATGTCCATTGGCTCTCCATTCAACCAATAACCCATGGTTCCATCTTCTAAGTCTATACCGCATGTTACAATATCTCCGGCGCGCCATGGTAATCCATAAGAGTTTTCTGATGGCTGTATCGAAGTATACGCAGTATAATTATATCTTACTCGTCCATCACAGACAATATATTAATTAGTGAGATACAGTACCGTCACCCTTTTTTCCCCGTGCCATTTGCGCCGACGAAATCCGTCGTAAGAGTACGATTCGTCGTTGTCACCGACGCCAGTACCAATTTCGGGTTCAAACTGAGCTTGCCTGGTAGTCCAACCAATCTGGACAAGCCCGCCAGTTCTAAGGCGCACTTCATAAGCATATCTGCCTCTCTTAGTTACGCCTCTATTTGCGCGGATTGTCTCAAATGTCCATGAATCGTTGCGGCACTAAAAAGGAAAAAGTAGCATGTTAGCAGTAAAACTTAAATCTGGATGTACACATACAGCAGGGTGCAGAGCTTGCACAATACCGTAATTCGATCTCCCGACAGTCTAAAATGACGTGTAGAGCTTAACCGATCAAGGACACAATATGACACAGATATCCTAGTAAGTCGATGACAATTCCACGAAGCACTCAAGTAGTAGAGAAATAATTCAGCGTAGAATTTCACATCAGTCGTCTGCCTATACAAGAGGATACGCCAAGTAGATATACCGAGTAAAATTTTAATACTTGTCAATCGAGGAAAGTTGTTAGGGAAAGAATCTAAAGAACAGACAAGCGTCAATAACCGAAGCCAATACACAAATCACTCAGACATTGTCATTCTTATACTAACCACGTGCTGAAAATGACCCAAGAAAGTGCAAAATATGAGTAGCGAGCTCAGACAGCGGTTGCCAAGGTCGGAAATTTAATAATTTGACCAACGCAACGAAAAAGGCGCCCTCTTCTGTGTTTACTATTACATCCGTAAGGTCTAGAAAAATAATTCAGACAAGATCTTTTCTTCTCTATAACCTACAACAAGTCGTCAATAAATCAACTTACAATGATGTCCCGCTATCTCACTAAGCACGTCGATTGCTTTCACTGCTAAGGCGTATTTAGCGTCCTTCATTCGCTCTTCCTCTTCATCGACCTCGAACGTAATATCGTTATCTTCCGCGCTCCAACTACTTCTCTCAGTGGCCAATTTCAAAAACCTCACTGGCCTTGCATAATATTGTAAACTCGTATCAACCTTCATCAAGTCTTCTAATGACATTCCGTTTTTAAACATCCTCCCTCTGATCCATTCTTTCACTCCTGGTTGAGCGAATAACTCCATAAGAGTGCGCGCTAGTTTGAATAACAATTCCTTATTCTTATCAGCAAAGTCGCGACTAGCTATGGAGTAATTAGTGAGCAGTATTAACAGAGCATCAAGTGAAGCCGAAAGAGGGGCAGTGATGGACCTTATGCGAGAGTAAGGTAACATTATTTCACCCTCAAATGTATCTAGAAGTAATGTTGATTTGGCGCTGCTTGATCCTGTAGCATTTGACGGAGAGGAAGAAAGGAAAGATTTAAACGCAGCTTCACAAAATGTAAGGGTATGTTTGATCAAAGGAATTAAAATGGTTGAAGATATTTCAGGAAGACGGGCTTGGTCTTAAAAAAAAAACGTTAAGATCAGTATGGGAAAGCGCATATATAGACGTATACATATTCGTAATATGAATACCTTTTAGTGCTAATATCACTAACGCTTTAGCACAAGTTGATGAAATTTTCTCTCTTTGGCTGTACTTGAGTGCATGTCCCAGGATATTGATGCAATTATCTCTAATCAAGTGGGTTGCCGTCTTATCTTTGTGAATACAGGAAAATTATGAGATTAATACTGTCACGAATACAGCATAATATAAATATACCATACCACATGTAGCTGATAAGTTAAACAATGCCACTGATGCTGCATATTGTGTATCGAGTTCTCTCTCAGTTTTGAGAATGTTGAGAAGTTTCTCGAACAAAGAATGATGGTCAACGATCTTCTCATGAAATTCGTCTATAAATTCGATAAAACGGTCATAAGTTCTTTTCCAGTCACATTAATGTCAATAGATATTACAAATGAATACTAACAGGAAGAACAGAGTGTTGCTATGACACCTGTCACATATGTGCGAATGTGTTGTTTTGGGGAATCAATAAGGTGAGATAAAATGTCTATCGATGTTGGTTCAACAATATCTTTGTGGGATTCTGCTGTCAGCGATAATAAAAACAGATGAGTATTATATAAAACGTTCTGAGTAATAAACTTTATAACAAATCTTACAATGGACGACCAAGTCTTGCAGTACCACCAAACTCCAATAGACTACATCGTCATCGGTTGATTTCATACAATAAATTACTTTATTCAGAATGCCCTCACTTATCATTTTCTTTTGATAGGCATCTAAACAGATAGTACCAGCGTGAATAATGAAAGACTTTCTTTTTATTATTACCATTTACAATAAAACGAATACGTACCATTCCCGTTGCCTAGAAACTTGAGAGCGCGTAACATAATACGTGATATATATGGTTCTTCAATACCCAACAGAGTGGACATAAATCTCAACAAGTTGCGCATCTCACGAAATTCCTTCTGTCCAATATCTGAA